ACAAATATAAATCATCACTTTTGAAATCTCATTGTCCAAATTCTGATCCAAAACAAATCCTAGAATCTCTGTTGTTTGTTTGTTTCTCTATAATGTAAGGGTTTCTCTTTAAGTGCCCCCACACATACATGGAGTAGCCACCACATTAAAACCACTTACAGGTGAAGTGAACAACACCTGTCAAGGGGTGGGATATATGAGGCAGCAAGTGAACAGTCAGTTCTTAAATTTCATGTGTTGGAAGCAGGAAAAATGGGCAATCAAAAAGATCTGAGTGACTTTGACAAGGGTCAACTAGAAGACTGGGTCAGAGCATCTCTAAAATGGCAAGTCTTGTGGAGTGTTTCCAGTTTGTAGTGGTTAGTACCTACCAAAAGTAGTGCAAGGAAGGACAAGGGATGAACCGGCATCAAGGTCAATGGCGGAGCGAAGGCTAGTCCGTCTGGTCCAGTCACACAAAAGACCTACTGTAGCCTAAATTGCTGAAAACATTAATGCTGGCCATGATTGAAAGGTGTCAGAACACATGGCGCATTGAAGTTTGTTGCATGTGTGGCTGCGTAGCCACAGACTGGTCAGAGTACCAGAAGGCCAAATAGGAGATGTAGAGAACCTATACAAGTACCTGGGGATACTGTAAACACATGGCAACCATGAGGATGAAGCTAGGAACAGAAATATCCAAGTACCTCCAGAGAGTCAGGCGTCCTTAAGACTCAGGTCATTTGCAAGAACAATATCTACGCTATCAACACATATACCCTACCAGTCATCAGGTACCCAACTGAAATAATACCCTAGCAAAGAAAATATCTAGACACCATGGACATCAAGACCTGGAAGCTACTCACTATGGATAGAGGATTCCATTCGAAATCCAGCACCCAGAGACTGTACGCCAGCTGGAAGGAAGAAGGTTGGGGTCTGATGAGTGTCAAGGCCACAGTCCTGGATGAAACACATAGCATCCATAAGTACATCTTGAAGATAGTTCCCAAATATGAATTGCTAGGGCAATGTTTCAGATAACAACATATTATGGATGCAGAAAAGGAAGCGGTTACATGGCAATACAAACATTTCCATGGGATGTATCATTGGCAAATAGTGTATGTCGCTTACATTACGAAATCCTGCCAATAGTTGGAAAAGAGCAGTACTTAAAGACAGTACTGAGACACTAATCTTAGCAGCAAGAATAGACACTCAGCAAAAAAGTGGAGTCTACCACACCTCACAGAACCTATGATGCAGACTTTGCATAGAGGTTTCCGAGACAATCCAGCATGTAGGACCAGGTGCAAGATATTAGCGTGAACAGCATACACGAAGTGGCACAACCAAGTTCCAGATTCAGTTGTTCCTTATGCAGACACACAAGAAAGTACTGGACCTAATTTCTACAAAGAAAGTACTGGACAACCAATGTGACATTGTGGTGGTAGATAAAGAACATAAAACTACAGTGGTGGTTAATGTGGCAATATCCAGTGACCATAACTTCAAGAAGAAGGATTATAAGAAGGTGGACAAATGTCAAGGGCTGAAAGAAAAGTGGTGCTTGAGAGGATGTGGAAAGTGAAGACAATAATAGTCCCAGTTGTAATACGAGGACTCGGGACTATATCCCCAAAGTTGTGAAAATGTCTTCAGCAGATTTCAGGTGGAATATCGGAGACTTCTGTCCAGAAGAGTGCAGTTGTAGGAACAGCTAAGATACTGTGCAAAAATCCTCTGATGGAGGATCTGAGAAAGAGCAATACACAAAAATGTATTCAACCCAGAAGGGTGAGAAACTCAATTTTAATTATTTATATAGTTCCCATTATTTCTGATTTTTTTTTTTAAATGAGAACACATTTTTGGATACTGCAGCAAAAGCTGCAAATAAATAATTGTAGTTGTGCCTACCCTGCTCATGGATATACCTATATTTAATCCTCTGGGTAGTGGAAGGTTCTTTTTTTCCCATTTATGTATTTATTTCATTTTACAACTTATATTGCTCTATTTTGCAGGTATCCATTAATAACTATATCAATGTGACTGTAGCAAGGATCTTACCCTCTGGCACAAAAATGACATAATTTTTCCTTTTGGTCATTAACAATAAGGCTATGCAACGTATGATTGCATAAGATGTCTATATTGTCAATTAGAGAACCAATCCAAATCCTAGTATTTTTATCTATTGCTCTTATTCTTCTTTTGCTTTATTAAAAGCTATTTTAATTTTAAACCCGTAGTGATACAGTCTCATTTTACTTATCTAGTACTTCAGCTACCCCAGTCCTAAACAAGTTAATCCTTAAGCCCAACACTACACCTAACACTACCCTATCCCTAACACTAACCCTAATGGAAGTACTCTGCACACCGTAATCTCATAATAAAATTATAATAATAAAAAAATAATAAAATTCATTTCCATCTCAGCTTCTGAGTCACATACTGACAATCTAAGAGGAAAAAACTCACAGGCACTCCAACTTCAAGCCGCAGGCAGATTTATTATGACAGAATGCAACGCAACGTTTCGACCGGAAAGGTCTTTTTCAAGCTGTCAATCTGTCATGATATTATTATTTATTATTATGTTATTATTTATATAGCGCCAACAAATTCAGCAGCGCTTTTTACAGTGGGAGGTCAAACAAACATGTAGTTGGAACCAGACAAGTTGAACACACCGTAACAGAGGGGTTGAAGGCCCTGCTCAATGAGCTTACATGCAAGAGGGAGTGGGGTAAAGTGACACAAAAGGTAAGGATAGTATTAGACTAATGATAGTTGCAAGGGAGGAATCAGTCTGGAACTATTAACAGTTTAATTAATACGCTTTTATGAAGATGTGGGTTTTTAATGATTTTTTGAAGGAGTGGAGACTGGGTGAGCATCTAACGGAGGAGGGAAGTGAGTTCCACAGTAACGGTGCAGCCCTCGAGAATTCTTGAAGGCAAGCATTAGAGGTGGGAGTACGGACAGAAGTTAGACTTAAGTCTTCAGCAGAGCGTAAGGGCCTTGTGTATTATGAAGGATAGATAGGTGGGAGCAGCATTATGTAGAGATTTGAAAGCAAGAACCAGAATGTTAAATTGAGCCCTATATCTTATAGGAAGCCAATGTAGGGACTGACAGAAGGGTGAGGCGTGGGAGGTACGGGCGGACAGGAAGATGAGTCTCGCCGCCGCATTCATTGGACTGTAACATTACAAATTGGGAGCAAGTAAGACCACTGAGAAGCAGATTACAGTAGTCAAGGCGAGAAAGGACAGTGGAATGGACCAGCACCTTACTCGCATCTGTCGTTAAGTAAGGTCAGATGCACGCAATGTTTTTGAGATGGAAGTGGCAGGATTTGGCGATAGACTGAACATGAGGCGTGAAGGAGAGGTCAGAGTCAAATAGAACACCTAGGCAGCAAGCCTGTGTGGTGGAGCTAATGGTAGCACCGTTGACTTGAAGGAAGACAGACACAGAAGTAGCAACACTTGAGGGAGGAGAGACTAGAATTTCAGTTTTGCTCAAGTTGAGTTTAAGGAAGTGGGCAGCCATCCAATTAGAAATAGCAGAGAGGCAGCCAGAGACACTTGTCAAGAGGGACAGGGAGAGATCAGGAGAGGACAGATAGATTTGCGTGTCATCCGCATAGAAATTATATTGGAAGTCAAAGGAGCTAATGAGTTTACCAAGGGAGGCAGTATAGATAGAGAACAGTAGGGGACCAAGGACTGAACCTTGGGGGACACCAGCAGAGAGGAGTTGGGAATAAGAAGCAGAGCCAGAGAAATAAATACTGAAAGAGTGTTGGGAGAGGTAGGAGGAGCACCAGGAGAGAGAAATATCTTGTAGACCGATATTGCGGAGGATGAATAGATGCTGCTGATGATCAACAGTGTCAAAGCTGCAGACAGGTCAAGGAGAATTAGGATAGAGTAGTGACCACGAGATTTTGCAGCGAGTAGATAATTGGATTCTTTGGTCAGTGTCGTTTACACAGAGTGCTAAGCACGGAAACCAGACTGAAGCGGGTCTAGCAGAGAGTTGGACTTGAGGAAGTCTCTCAATCTCGCATACACAACTCTTTCAAGGATCTTGGAAGCAAATGGCCGTAACGAGATAGGACGGTAGTTGGACAGGGAGTTAGGGTCAAGGTTGGGCTTCTTTAGAATTGGGGTTACAGTTGCATGTTTAAAGGGAGAAATATGTCAGAGGAGAGAGAGAGATTGAGAATTTTTGTGAGAGGTAGAGAAAGAGAAGACAAAGTACAGATGAGATGCGAGGGAATTGGATCTAGGGAGCAGGTGGTGGGGCAGGAGGACAGGAGCAGAGCAGAAACCTCTTCCACTGTAGCGGGTGCGAATGAACATAGAACAGCAGAGGGAGTGAGGCTAGGGGAAGTATTGAAAGGGGAATAAGAAAGATGAGAGATCTCTTCCCTGATTGTAGAGATCTTGTCAGTGAAGTGAGTTGCTAAGTCTGAGGCGGTCAAGTTAGTAGGTGGAGGAGCAACAATAGGGCGAAGAAGAGAGTTAAATGTGTGAAATAGTCGTTTGGTATGACTTAAAGCCATCTGTCAGTCTAATCATCCCCAATGATTGGTGCTGGGAAGCCTTAACAGTCTAGTACTATTTGTAATAGGCTCCAGGGGCATTCCTGGAACATGATTGGAGGTATTTTCAGACACCCTTCCCCTGTCTCTATCCTTTAATAAAAATACCAATTATGTTCTGTACCATCCTTGCATCTTAACACTCTGAAATACATCACAGAATAGGATGTCATGCATGTTAAAAGATTTAAAGGAACACTCCAACAATACATCTATCTATCTATCTATCTATCATGTACTCCAGGTTTACAGGTGAATACCTGTACTGATAATTATCACAATATAATGAAATAAACATGAAACTAAAAAAGTGATTTATTCAATAAACATTGACAGCCATATGCTGCCTATTTATGTATTTTGCCTGTCTCATATTATTCATACGTACTTCAACAATAGCTCCATCTGGAAGTCTAAGGAACTGCCGGTATAGCTCCCGGAAACCACTAAGATGAATGGTGTAGATCAATACATGCGTAGAGATTTCCTTTGAGTCATCTTCCAATGTTGTAGCATCAAGTTGGTTTTGTTGCTGTATATGAAAATTTGAGATCGAGCTTTTGCTAGCTGTTTCTTTTTTCCAAATGTAATCATAGACTGTCACCTAGGAAAATACATTTAATAGTGTTTATTTATACAAAATCTTTACAAAAGCACTTTTGCATTATGTTATATACCCAGTACTATTTTATTGAACTATTAGTCCAATACGTTATTAAACATACTATTTGTTTGGGCACCTTTTCCCCATTTTACAATGTCTCATACTATCCAATAATGAATGCATGCCTGATTACATTTCTTTTACACTTACTTTTTAATTTTACTGCTTTATTTCTGAATATTATAATGTGTTAGCACATAGCATCCATCTTGTATCTGTCTTACAATTTCACCTTATCCTAGTTTGAATGCTGCAATAAGTCAGCAAATAGTCTATCTTGGGAATCAACTATGTCTTTCTCAAAAGTACTAGACCCTCAATTTTCCCTTTAGTCTGATAACCTCCAGCTTCTGAATATAACCTCTCTTTTGGCCTGTCACTCTCTCTGAAATATACTTTGTTGAGTGTCTTGCTATAATTGAAACATTCTATCATATCTGACACTGTACATAAAGTAGAAGCAACATTTCATGTTTTTAACCATACAAAAAATTCATGCATCACCAAATAGTAGAGTGAAAAACATTTTAACTTCACTGTGAGAAATAAAATAGACAACGGCAGTAAAAAAATATATATATAAACTGACTCACTTTTCTAAAAACTAAAATAATTATCAGATCTGGAAACAAACATCCCAATAACCCTGTAGAAGAAAATGTTTATGCTACAGGAAATTAGTAATGAGATCCTTAGAAGAATATATGTCTAGCAATAATTCATGTACATAAACAGCAACCAAGGTTTTATTTTTCACCATATTGTAAAAAATTATAAACCATGTAGCATGCGGTTAAATTGGTATATGCATTTTAAGATACATATAATTTTATCAAACGATTCGTATCTTTACATGCGATAGTGGGTGTACAAGTAGACCCTTATTAGGTTCATTTACCTATTATATCTCTTGCTGCTGATAGTTACAAATAAGAGTAGAAACTACAAAATATGTGCATGTCTTTTTTACTCTGCACAAGTATTAGTTTGACATTTTTAGCTGTTTCTTTTCTATCAAAAATACAAATTTTAAATAAAAAATAGATGCCACTTTAAATGTTAAATTCAAAGAGATATTAATAAAATTGATTTAAAAATGTAACTATAGTAGGACCCAATTTATTATTTGTTTGGTGAATTTTAAATGTATTTATCATTTTTAAAATATTTTAATATTGTAATATTTAGATTTTTTTTTTTGGTACATTGTTTGATATTTTATTATTTTGAAAAACTTTTTTTTACATTTTATTTAAAAATATTAAATCATTTGAAAAGTCTATCCAAAAATATTAAATTGTTATAAATAAGCATAGTTAGACAAGTTAAATCCTAACGTTACTTTCATCTAATGATTGCAAATCGGTTATTAAGTCACAAATGAGTTGACTGCTTAGCATTTTGTGACAATTTGTTTGAAGTGGCTGCACCTCAGTAAGTGGGACAGTTAGAATTTTAAGTAAACTCCTTTAAATATGAGTTGTCATTGTTTTAAATTATACATACTGTGCAAACCAATAGCTCTTTCCAGATATCTGCCCTCCACTATTTGTACTATTTCCAGGGTTAGAATAATAATTGAGTGAGGCTAAATTAGTCCCTAAATCTAATTCTAAACCTCACCTTAAACCTAAATGTCCTCTTATCTGACCTCCACTATTTTCAGGATTATTTCTAGGGCTTTCCTGCTATCTGCCCTTAGGGTTAGGGTTATAATAACCAAGTGAGGCTAAATTAGTTTCTTTCAAATTATATTTTTAGAATTTTAACCATTTTAAAATCGTTTAATCGTTAGCCTCACTCAAATACCAAAAATAATAGTAATAATAATAATTATTATTATTCTAACCCTAACCCTAAGAAATACTAAAAATAGTGGATAGCAGATAACAGGAAATAACACTAGAAATAGTGGAGGGCAGATAACAGGAAAGGTTTAAACCAAATTACAGTGACTGAAAAAAGTATTTGATCTCCTGCTGATTTTGAACGTTTGCTCACTGACAAAGAAATGATCAGTCTATGATTTTAATGGTAGGTGTATTTTAACAGTGAGAGACAGAATAACAAACAAAAAAATCTAGAAAAATGCATGTCAAAAAAGTTATAAATTGATTTGCATGTCAGTGAAATAAGTATTTGACCCTTTCGACTTAGTACTTGGTGGCAAAACCCTTGTTGGCAATCACAGAGGTCAGACGTTTCTTGTAGTTTGCCACCAGGTTTGCACACATCTCAGGAGGGATTCTGTCCCACTCCTCTTTGCACACCCTTTCCAAGTCATTAAGGTTTTGAGGCTGACATTTGGCAACTCGAACCTTCAGCTCCCTCCACAGATTTTCTATGGGATTAAGGTCTGGAGACCCTCATGTGCCTCTTCTTGAGCCCCTCCTTTGTTGCCTTGGCTGTGTGTTTTGGATCATTGTCATGCTGGAATACTCATCTGTAACGGATCACCTGGCACCCCGACTGGGTACCTCCATTGAAGGATGCTCCTAGCGCTTGCTGAGGGCTCCAAGCACTAGATCCAACACCACAACCACCGTAGATTCCTTCAGAGAGCAAGACAGGAACAAGCTCTTACAAGAGCTTAGTAGTGATATAGCAAGAGAGTATGACTAGCATAGCAATCCCTTGTAGCAGATTCCCCTAATAAGAGACGGCACTCCAAATTGAGGGTGAAGTAGAACTGTTTAATGGAAGCAAGCACTCACAATTTATACAATTACTCAGGCCAGAGGCACACCCCCTGGACCTGATGGAACACTGGCACATAAAGGACACAAACCAATCAAAACAATACAACAATGTCTGACACCCAGTTATTACAGCAAAATCCTCTCCTTTGCCTGTGATATAATTACTGAACACAATGGGCTAACGTAATTATCACAGGCAGGAAAATACACAGTTTTACCCAATATTCATAACTTTAAAAGTATATATCACATTCACATAAAACTTACATTTTCAGAATCAGCATACTGAAAATATATCTATTCACAACAACAGTAAAAACACATAAAAATACATAATTCCTATTATACTGAACAGAACCTCCACATTCAACCTATCCCTAGATAGCTTGGATCTGAGCGCTCAATATATCCGAACAGCGCTAAGATCCCATGAACAGAATAAAATCGCCATGGGGTTAAAGTTTAGCAAGGGCCATACATAGTCCAATAGAAGTCCATAAGCCCCAAGACTGTTGTTAAAGGGCACAATCTCCCAGGGGCCATAGTCAGAAGGTAGGAGGCGGGCAAACAGGCCCCTCCAAAAATGAGTGGCGAGGTCACTTTCGCCACACCATCCACGACCTATTTTCAATGCCCTGGCTGAGGAAAGGAGGTTCTCACCCAATGGGCACTGCAGTCCTTTCAGTCCTTCACAACATAGTATGTTACCAATTGTTTTCTTGGTGACTATGGTCCCAGCTGCCTTGAAATCATTAACATGATCCTCCCGTGTAGTTCTGGGCTGATTCCTCACTGTTCTCATGATCATTGAAACTCCACTGCGTGAGATCTTGCATGGAGCACCAGACCAAGGGAGACTGGCAGTTATTTTGTGTTTCTTCCATTTGTGAATAATCACACCAACTGTTGTCACCTTCGCACTAAACTGCTTGGTGATGGTCTTGTAGCCCATTCCAGCCTTGTGTAGATCTACAACCGTGTCCCTGATATCCTTGGACGTCTCTTTGGTCTTGGCCATGGTGGAAAGTTTGGAACCTGATTGATTGATTGCGTCTGTTGACAGGTGTCTTTTATACAGGTGACGAGTTGAGATTAGGAGTACTCCCTTTAAGAGAGGAGAGTGCTCCCAATCTCAGCTCATTACCAATATAAAAGACACCTGGGAGGCAGAAATCTTGCTGACACCTGGGAGGCAGAAATCTTGCCCAAAAAATGCAACTCAATTTATAACTTTTTTGGCATGCGTTCTTATGTTTTTTTTTATTTTGTTATTCTGTCTCTCACTATTAAAATACACCTACCATTAAAATTAAAGACTGATCATTTCTTTGTGAGTGGGCAAACGTTCAAAATTAGCAGGTGATCAAATACTTTTTTCACTCATTATATGTAACTGATAGTTTAGACTTGGTGGCAGGTGAGGTAGTAGGAAAAACGTTACCCCAAACTGTACAGCTTGTTCTGCCCCATCTTCTGTATTATTCTCACAGCTCCTGGCAGCTTCTCTTGTCTGGAAATGTTTTGCTACTACCACATGCACTGAACGAACTGTAGTAGTTATGGTCCCTGGAGTGTTTATTCCGCAGCCCTTTACAATAAAAGGGGAATTTACCAAATGAGACAATAACAAAATGTAACAGGAACTATAGGTAGTTGAGGACCCTGCTCAAAGAGAGCTTACAGTCTAGAGGAGGTGGGGTATAAAAACACAAGGTGAGAGTGGTCCTAAAGGAGAGAGCGAGAGGAAGGTTTGAGAGACAGAAGTTAGGTAGAAGTTACTCTTGGAGGCCATAAGCAATCCTGAAAAGATTGGTTTTGAGGGACTTCTTAAAGGATTGCAGACTAGGGGAGAGTCTGACAGGGGTAGGCAGGCTGTTCCAAAGGAAAGGAGCCACCCATAAGAAGTCTTGCAGACGATCTATCTATCTATCTATCTATCTATGTATCTATCTATCTATCTATCTATCTATCTATCTCTTGCTCGCTCTCTCTCTCTCTTTCCATCTCTCTATCTCTCTCTATCTCTCCCTATCTTTCTCTATCTGTCTATCTATCTATCTTTCTCTATCTATCTAGGGGAGAGTCTGACAGGTGTAGGCAGGCTGTTCCAAAGGAAAGGAGCCACCCATAAGAAGTCTTGCAGACGATCTATCTATCTATCTATCAATCTATCTTCCTATTTTGATTTTACTTTGCATGTACATATTTAAATATATATATATAAATATAGTTCTAGCTAAA